ACTGCAGAGTCTCCTTCTGATACACTTGCGATAGCAAAGGGTTGTGTGCTTATAATAGCTTTGTTTCTCATCTTCCGGAGGTAAATCTTTCATTTTACAGAGTCAGACATTTATTTGCAGCCCTGCAAAGAAGCGTAAAAACAATCCTCTTTTCTCACTACTGCTCACTGTTTCTGTGAAAAATGTAAAAATTGCAATTTCAAATTTGAGAAAAAATTGTTTTTAGCAAAAATTCCCGGTCTGTAAATTAAGATCTCTATAAATCCCTTTATTTTAACATTTGTATAGAATTTTTTTTTCTTCACATTTTTTTAAAATCTGCTCTGTTAAACAGAAATGTAAACATGTGATTAGGCGACTAAAGGTCCAACCTCGCCTGTCCTCTCATTTAAGAAAATCGTCAACTCACATTGAACTTTAATAGAAGAATAGTCAGAATAAAGTGACACATGTTAAGATTGTAACTTCCAGAATATTTATTGCAGTACTATGATCCTAAGTGGTCGATCAGTAAAACACCGATACAGATAAGTTTGTCCTGCCACATCATACCAGCTGATCATATGAGATCACAGGTCTTATGTGCTTTCAGATCAGGCAGCAGAAAAAATGGGGCATGGCCTACACCTTGCAGCATTGCAGATTTCCCCTGAAGAATGGTTCTCTGTGTTGGGATTCTGATGCAGCCAGCCTGTTCAAATATACTTTGTGCTTTAAATACAAGCAAACCTGTTGCACATCTTTCACAGCATGTTATCAGATTCTGCTGATCAACATCGTTCCCACACAGACGGACAATGAAGGATGATATGATACTCCCCTCTGTGTGCAACCACACTCTGTGCAGCAGCAGCATCAGCAGCTGTCTTTGATTTGTGCATCACACTTCCTCTACATTTGTCTTGTAGCCTATTAGCCTGTATTCTCAAGTAGCAGGGTATCTTTTTTTAAAAAAAAAAAAAAATGGCATAAATTACTGAGGGATCAAACTACTTTGCTGTTAATGCTACTGTATAATGTTGGTGTTTGTATGTAGCCGCCTTATCATGCAAACACCTGATCACCAGCCTGCAGACCAATTTTCCTCTGGGGATAAATGAAACCACCTCTCCCTCCATCCATCTACTACTTACATTTGTCAATGGTGGGTGGACTTCAACCTCTTATTTCATGTCAGGACTTTTAAACTGATTGTGTGTGCATGTTAATGATGTAGCTCATGGAATGAAAGCATTATTTAAATTTGCCTACTGTTATAAAATGCAAACGCAAAGTGATAGTGGAAGCAGACAATGGTGACTTCTCCAGCAATGGCTCCAACTCTATTCCGATGTGACTCGCCTCAACGTTTTCAGAGAAGACCAAGTTGTGTTTCATTGGCAGACAGTTGCAGAAATTGACAGAAGGGGGGAAAAAAATTGTAGCACTGGTGATTGTTGTTGTTGTTGTTTTGTTTTTCACTCAATATATTGAAATTAAACAGTTCTTTTTCTATTTTGAAAATGTAACTGAGATTTTATCAACTCCATCCAAGGGGAATTTGAAAACTTTTCAAACGTCTTTAACAGGAGTCCCAATAAACTCAATCAGCTAAGCATTTGGTGGTTTTCCAACATATTGATCTGTTCGTGTTGGTCCAGGGTTCTACCAGGGAAGCTTGGACAGCAAAAAGTTTTTTAAAAAAGGTGATTTCTGGGTTTTATGAGTGGCCGAGGCACAGCTGCTATCTGTGTTTTGTTTTTGTTTTTTTCTCTCCAACTCTCTCTCTACAGAGTCCTTTCACTGCTCTGGAAACTTTGGTGATCTCAGAGAGATATTGATTGCCTCCAGTCCGAGAGGGGCAACCCCACTGGGCTTCACTGCCTTCTCAGTTATACTGGCTGTGTGTCTGAAAGCACAAGCCATGTTCAGTAAATAGGAGAAATCACACAGATAAACATGGTGTAGAGCCACATACACTGCGTGTGAAACAAATTAAACTGTTCAAGCCATCAACTCCCATGCTGGTGTCTTTAAAGAGGAGCCCTCGTAAACACATACAAAACAGTAACCCATCATCCAGTGTTACAGTATAATCACACAGTTCATATTTTAGTGGTGCAACGAAAGCAAAAGCAAACCTTGTTTCTTTTTCCATCAATATTCCTTAATATGGATGTTTTGCCCTGGAGTTCACTTATAATACATTAAGGTAAGAGCATATCGGAAAATGTGTGTTAAGTTTCATACAGCAAATTAGATTTCAAGGCTGATTGTATTTAAATCTCAATACTACTACATTTGCCATCCTCCTCTTACAAAACACAAACTGAGGCCTTACACATTCAGGATGCAGCCTGACATGAAAAATCTCGCCATATTCAGTCATCTTACCTCTGCGAGATCTCCGCTACCTGACCACTCCCCACTCCTTCTTAAATGACTGTCTGAAGAATGAGCTTAGAGATAAAGAGATTACAGAGACGGCGAGGGGATCACACACGTACATGTTGGCAGTGAAAGAGTTTTGCGTGCGCCTCTGTGTGATGGCAAAAATAACAGAAGGGGAAGAAGACAGATTGACGTGGGGAGGAGGAAAAGGATATAGAGGAGCATTGTGAGCCTCTCGTCTCATCCTACGTCCCTCCTGATGCTGTCTGTCGTAGCGAGCATTAAGCTTATGGGAGGTATTTGTTGTCTTGTCATTCTCTAACCTTCCCAGCAAGTATCAATGAGTCACTACTAAGCACAGATAGAAAAATGACACGTTACTCGTCACATATTATTTTCCATTCATTATGTCTTAAGCCCAGGTCTGTATTCATGTTTTTTTTATCGTTTGTTTGTTTTTGTTTTGTTTTAGCGATGGGTTGTTTGTAGCAAATAAAAAGGGGTTGCATGAAAGTCTGACAACTGTGACGTTTGGCAAACGAATCCTTGTTTTCACTGTTTCTAGTAATCACGACTCCTCTACTCGCCTATGATCCATATGCTCCAACCACAGCACCAAAGCAAAATGAGATTATCATGGCTTAACCCCTTACCTGTCAAAAATTGAACTCCCACCCATCAGGAAATGCACCACCTGGAAGTATTACAAGATCATAACATTCTTCGCTCTGGAAGTTGATACAGAGTGAAGACTGAAAGTTAGCTAATTTAACAACAAATTTCTGTCATTGGTACTAATTTCTATCATTTTAACTCCTTTAGAGTTAGGATAAGGGTTTGCATTTGTTAAGGAACATCTTCAGAACTTGCAGTGTAGCACTGCTCACTGAGCAAATTATAATAATTGTGCTAAAAAGATGCTAAAAACATCCTAAAATATAAAATTCATAATTTTATCTGTTTTAAAATAGTAACATTCAGTTTTACTACAACCTCTCTCTCTTTTCCTCTAATATAAATACTAATTACTCTGATTAGGTGGTCTAGAATACTATATTTTTGAGTTCTTAAAAAGAAGTCAAAAATGTAAAAAAAAAAAAAAAAAATGTAGTCTGCTAATCAAAGCTTTCCAAGATGGGTGCATCTCTACAGAAAACATTTTGAGACCGACCGGTGCATGCCAGTATGTCAAAAACAATACCACTGAATAATTATTTTAATTCAATTCAAAAACTGAATATCATATATTCAGGACATACACAGTGATGCAACACATTATTTGTCCATTTATTTTACTTCCACTCAACTTTCCATTAAAGACCATGAGACCCAGCTTCTTTAGCTATAGCCTCTGTAGCTAATCCTCCTAGTATGTGTCAAATCAGTAGTCCCAACTGTGTCTTTGTGTGTAAAACTTAAGGGGCCTGGTAGAAGATCCCAATCAAAATTCTGTATTAAGATATTTTAAATTGATCTTGAGTAAAATGTGTGAATTCTAAGTAATACCATTTAAGGTTGCCATTCAAGTTAACAGCAACAGTACACAGGATCTACTTAAATAGATAACAGTGTGACAGTTCAACATACCTTGGGGCCCCCCTGCTGGTCTACGCGCTGAAAGCAGCGGTGTAGTTTGCGTGTGCCTCAGGCTGGCTCAACCTAGAGGATATGTGCCATTGGCAGGTTTCCCTCACTGCATATGAGCTTTAAACATGTTTTGAGATGTGATTTAGCTGTGCGATTTTTGGCTCCCAAAACGTTCAAAATGCCTTATTCCTATTTTTTTTGTCCCATGTGCGATAACAATTAAAAGTTCATTTCCAAACTCGGAAGGGTGTAGAAAATGATCTCCTCATTTTAATGCATTTATCAAGCATAACAACCTGTCTTCATTCTAATTAGGGGAGGACAAATAGGCTCACGGTGATTTTTTTTTTTTTTTTTTTTTTTTTTTTTGCCGCCCTGGGTTGGCAGAGGAGGCGAGCTCTAATAGTGCCCCGAAATCCGATTCCGCGCTCCAAGGGAGCTCCTCTCCCTTATGGGCTGTCAATAACCCTCCACTGACCTTGTGAAAACACATTGACTATTCCCCAAAGTGAGCTTGCCTGACTGTAACACAACGCACGTCCGCTCCTGTCTCAATTCATCCGAGCGGGGAGACAGCCTAAACGGCTCGGGAGGGGTGTTAAAAGCAAGAAGGCGTCCGTATCCCAAGTTTCGGAGGATTTCCAGACACCAGGGTACATGCGTACAGCCCTGAGCTCTACATGAAGAAGAGGCATGCCGAAGACGCAGCAAAGATGCGCAAACAGTTATCGCCCACAGTGATGTTTTTTTTTTTTCTTTTTCTTTTTCTTACTACTTCCAAAATGTACCAGCTTCTATGAAAACGTAACATTCCCGCTAAACAGGATTTATGATTGCATGATAAGCGGGAGGCTTGTGTGACAAGAACAGAAGCTCATCTGCAGCTATGTCCTGCAATAACGTCTCCACAGTGCAGAGATTCGCCCGTGAGGCAAATCCACCACCAAATCCAGCGTGGTAACATTGCACCAAGCATATGCACCACTCCTCGGAAACACGGCACAGCGTCAGGGAGGCGCAAACATAGATACATTCATACACACCTGGTTTTTATGCCGAGTTCCATCTTCGAGTTCAGAAGAGCTATTCATGATTCCCCATCGGTCATTTACCATCCCACGGAGAAGGTGCGCATCAGATCCGTCTTTCTTCTTTCCGGGCGTCAGAGAATAAACCCACTTTATTGTATTTTTTATTTATTTATTTCACATTAATATGTACCTGTCAAAGTCAATAGCTGGTATTCAAGCCTACTCCATGGGAAAAAGAAAAAAAAAATACGAAAATACTAATAAGGATTGCAAGTTCTTCAGCCGCACAAATTGCGCACCAAAATGAGATTTAAATTCCTCCCCGGAGTTTCCTCAGCGTCCGTTCATAATTCCATCTCAATAGGGTAACACACGTGCTTTATTTGAAGGCTGCAATCGTTTTTTGTTTTACTTGCTTCCCATATGCACCAAGATTGCATGGAAATAAACGAAGAAACCTACAAAAGATCCCAAGAGTAGGAGCACAGTATCTTTTCTTTTTCTACTCCAAAATATATATGTACAGATTGTGTCCGTCCACTTCTTAAGAAGAGAGTGAAGAAGGCTGACCAAGTTGGAGTGCGTTTATTTGAAGTGAATTTGGATTGAAGTCGTAGAGCAGCTGTGTCCTCTTTCCCCCCTTCTCCTACTTGTTTACGCGTCGCAAAAGCTTTTATGCCAAACCCGCTGGTGGATAGAGGCTCCCGTAGCCCATTTGCGCCAGTTGGATCACAGAGAAGCCTTTGACAAGACGGGTGTGAGGGGGAAAGATTAGCCTGCTCCTCTCCGCCAGTGAGCCGAGCGGGGCGCTTCGTTCCTCTCCGGCTGTCAGTTAGCGGCTCCCTTCCGTATGCGCGGCGCGCTCCAAGGCTGCGTTTTCTTCCCTTGTACCGCCCTGCCCTCGATTGCTGTACCACTGACTCACCGCCTTCTCTTCCACTCCACACCGCACCGATCCGCACCGTGGACCCTCCTATTCCACCGCAGCAGCAAGATTATGAGAAATCTATGCGTAAAGTGTAAACCACGGATAGTGATGGGGAAAAAAAAAAAGTTTTTTGTGGGATTTGTGTCGAGATTCGGACTTTGTTGGGTGGAGGAGCCGTCACCGTAGCAGACGATCGATCTGAAAAGTCTTCTGAAAGCGGAAGGTTTAATGGACCCCTCATGGGGGGAAAATACTAAAACATAAGTCTGCCTCAATTATGTCACACTGCCACTATAAACTGCTTCCTTATGCAAATGCATCTTAATACCTTTAAACATAACATGGACCTTATACAGATTATACTGATATAAATGTTGAAATTCAAGCATTTATCTCTGATCGTCTTTTGGAAAAATATTTTACAGATTTTCAAAAATAATTTTTCAGAAAATCAAACATTACTTGACCCTAATAAAGAAAAATAGAGTTATAGCGATTTTAGCCTGAACATGTAATGGATACTTACAAGTTGTGAGCCATAAAAGACTGCATACTGCTGAATCCAGGCATGTCAGTAGAAAGCAGAGCAGAAAATAAAGTGTGCTAGGAATAAGGGCCTAAAACAAAGTATTGTGAAGCAAAGCCCATACTATGCATGAAAGGTACGGACTATATCCAGGAGACGGGCCAGAACAATTCCTCAGTTTAGCGACTTCTAAACCAGGAACAGTGTCACAAACGTCTTACCTGGACCAGTGATAAAAAGGAATGGGCCATGGAGTCATCTTTTCAGGTGAATGCTTTGCATTTCAATTACGAATCAAGGCGCCAGAGCCTGGAAGAGAGCCTGGAAGAAAAGTGGAGAGGCACATAATTCAAGTTGCTTGAGGATTCAGAGTAAACTTTCTATAATGGTGATATCATGTATCACTACTGCACCACTGTATTTTATAAAATTTAAAGTATAAGAGCAGTTTACACTAGAACATAAGCTGAGATAATTTTGCTTTTTATTTTATTTTCTAGCAAGACGTGGGTGTCTTCCCACTCTGTCAAAACCACCAATACCTTATTTACTTTAAGACTTTGACATTTGATGGTTGTTGATGCTACGCAAGCTAGTTTTTTTTTCAGAAATAGTTGATCCACTGGGATCTTCATACATAACATTTCCCAAGTTTTAAAGAGAGAAATAAAAAGTAAAAGCTAAAATATATGTTGCAGTTTCTGTAGAAGAGAACTGTTGATGTCAGATGGCGTAGTAGAATGGCATGCAGCAGTTTTTGTCTTGAGGGTCTGGATTTCAGCCGATACATTTACATGGTTGAGTTAGATTTTTGAATCGATGTGAAAGGTTGGATCCATCTTGTACACAATCAACAGTATGTGGTGTAGTATGGTAGGGGTTGTTTACTTGAAATGAACCAACATCTCGGAGGAACGGTTTCAGCATTTTATTGAAACTATGCCACAAAGTATGGCATAAGGAGGTCCAACTTGTTACAGGGAAGGTGTAATCTAATAAAAGCACTCAGTGAATATCAATAGTACAAATTTGCCACCAGAAATGTAGCGGATAGTACATTTTTCAAAATGCTCAGTCATACGAAAAGTTTCCTAAAAGTTGCCCTTTTTCCCATCATCAAGAAAGAGCCTCCTAAGCTTTCAAAAATGTACATATTTAGTTTTCATAATCTGAAAAAGTGTTCTCCGAACTCTTTTGCAGCAAAGTAGGAATTAAAATTTTAATTAATTAGGTTCTCCCCATATTAAAAAAAAAAAACCTTCAAGTGAGTTCATATGACTACTCACTCCATGGTGAGTTAATGAAACTACTGTGTGTTGCAAAGGTTGCTTTATGTATGCCACATAAAAGCAAAGAACATAACCTTTTTTACTTTTCCGAAGTTAGCCTTAAAACAATAAATGGAGTGAAGAGAAAAGAAACATCACAATGTATTGCTCTCAAAAGTTTCTCACCTGTGACAAATTCCAGCTGGGATATTTATTTAAAATGTAAATTTTACAGCCACAAATAAATTCTGGATTGTAATTATGTTCCTTAGCAAGAAACAGAGCAATTAGATATGCAAAAGGAGGTAAGATGAAATGAGCTTAAACAGTTTTTCCTTGGCATACGGTAAATGTAGACTGTGTTCTGTAGCTTACTGAAGGCACAGTGAGGCAACTTATTTTGCAAAAAGAAAATAACATAAAAAACCCCTTAAAAACTATTTTAGCAGTTAAACTTTAGAAATGTGCAAACGACCTACTACCTTTAAAGTTGATGTGATTCTGGAATCTTTTTGAATCTTTTTGAATCTTTGATGTGAAATTGTATTTTTTCTTTTTTACTAGATTCAGTAAAGCCGTATTACGCACTCCGAAGTTAGACAGCATCGTTTGATATGTGCATGATTGTTAATGAGTAACCGGAGCTTCTACACCATTACTCTATAAGCTTTCAGTAAATGTATTTTTCTTCTTGATGCACGCTTCACACATTCCCTTACTTCAGTCACTTATAGTTTTGCTTTCCTTGTCTGTGCACATTCAGTATTATAATGGAGCTATAATAGAAAGCTCATATTAAACATCTTGTGTCACAAAATGTGTGAATTTGACAAGTTTTCTGCTATGCGTTCCAAACTTTTTAAAACAGTATGGTGACACACCATTTCCTCTTTTGCTATTCATGAGCAGTTTTGAATAGTTACGTTGTACACCACATGTACTAGCAGGCACATAGTATTGACTTGAGGACAAGAGGCAGTAAAAAGCAAGTGTGCTTTTTTTTGACCCCAGGGTTAGTTTTCTAGGAAGATGACAAAAGAAATGTGCAAACGGCGCACTTTTACTGACAAACTGGGGAGACATTGAATCTTCCCTGAACAAAACATCAAGATAATATACTGATTTCTCGTGATGAATGAGCCACAACTTCAATATCAAGGGTACTAGCTTAACGGAGTGACTGCCATACACAACACAGAGCTAGTCGTTGTGACCTTGGTCACACCAGCTGGTGGCCATGTCTTTGTCCGATAAGGTGTGCACTTGCAAATGTGTGCATGCATGTGTGCGTGTGTGTGTGTGTTTGTGGTTGTGCTCAGTTTTTTTCTCTTTGAATGTCACTGAAACCTGACCAACCAGAGACAGTCAGAGAAAAAGGAGAAGTCTCCCAGGAAGAGCTGTTTATCTCTTTGGTAAGTGCACACAATGCCGCCTTTCTCCTGTCTTTAATTGGTCTGAATATCAAAAGATTGTTCTGTTTGTATGCTTTTTATTTATTTATCTGTTGTTGTTTTTTAGGCATGCACCATTTTTTTGTTCTGTAACAGCCAAAGCAAGAACAATGCATTTATTTTTATTTATGAAGCTACTCACATGGCAGCTTTACATGACATGGGTAAATCAAATGCTTTGCATTCGATTTAGTTTTACATAATTTACAGACAAAGAAAGTTTTAATAAAAAGTTAATTTTCTTTAAGATGGTTCAATACTTTGAACCAGGTGTTGTGCAAACAGTAATGCCACTTTGCACTCACAAACAACCTGTTCAAACACCAATAACAGCAAACACCAATGCGTTTGGAAAAAAATAAATAAATAAATAAAATAAATCTAACCTGACACTCTGATCATTAAACTTTGGTTCCTTCTGAAGAACAAATTTATTATTAGAGGAAATTGTAAAATGAATTAAATCCGCAAGCAGCTCAAATGGCCCTTGCAGCTCAGGCCTGCTCCGGCCTCCTGGCGACCGCGGGAGCTCTAGTGATGCCGCCCGCCAGCCATTACAGACGCTCTCGCCATTCACCAGCTGATATGCAACAATGAGTTCGGCAATGCTATCTGATGCTGCACCAAAAATCTGGTGGAGATCAACTAATGTAGTGAGGAGATATAGCTGATGGAATAACCTAGGGGGCGCACTGGAGTCAAATTACTAAATTTTTTTTAGACAAAATTAAATATTTGGGTTTATTTTGGTTAATCTGAGCCAGAATTTCAAGGTTGTCATTGTTGAGTGTGGCTTGCAGCTGTGGTCATCTGCCCAATGCAGGTCAGGAGAGAATTCACTCCAGCTGCTGCTGCTGCTCAGACCAGGGGTCTACCCCAAGTTGGACTTGGAGTTGACTTGAACCAGATATTAAGTGGTTTTTGCTCAAATTGCCAGTGGAAAAACTCTTTAAAGGTCTGACAGGCTTCATGCGAGGTGCCAAAACTGGTGCTTATTGAGCCAATTTCATGACAAAACTGCTTCATTTTCTTAATAGAAAGGCTTGTGCCTGATGAACTCAACACCAGACGTTACTCAAACTATTTCAATGGAGCTCTATGCAAAGTGTTGTCTGATTGGACAGAGGTTTGATGCCATGCTGATGTGGGAATGCACTTGGATAGCAGAGTTGATAGTTTTCTTTGGTAGTAAATCTGCACCTCTCCATTGTGAGATTAGTTGTAAGGTGCTGAATGAAAGAAATCTGCTATAGCTTGGTGCAAACAAAGCTTGGACCACTGTTTTTAATGTATGTGATCCTGATTCTGCATGTAATAATTTGATTTATGAATTATCTCAAGCTATTAGCATCAGTATTCCAGACAGGACTGTCATTAACAGGAAAAAAAAATTAATTTCCTGATTTACCACATACTGAATTCTATTAAACATAAAAACAAACCGTGATCACTAGGGTTTAAGAAATGTTAATGATTTTAGTAAAAGGAAATTTCACTTGTATAAAAACAAATTGTCATAGATAATAAGGAAGAGCAAATGTACTTATACTAATGATATAAATAGCTTTTCAGAACTGTTTATAAGTTGCTTGTGTTTTTCAGGAGTGAATAAACAGAAAATTATTACTTCCAGATTTCTGAAGCAGCTTTCCAGAGGATAAAGTTGCGTTCACTAAATGTCCCACGTTGCCAAGCTCTTTCTGCTGTGTTGAATTTACAGACAATTTTGTGCATAAAACCTGAAATTCTGCAGGCAATTGAATGTAATTATTGATAGTCAGACCTATTATGGAGCTATGAAAATCTCCAAGCAATT